ATTCTCGTTCCTCGGTCGTGATTCTCGTTCCTCAATCGTGACTCTCAATCATCAATCGTGATTCTCAATCATCAGTCTTCTTTCTTAATCCTAGCAATCCGTCATTCTCAATCATCAGTCGATTTCTCAACAGGCAGTTGCAAACTCAATCACTTTTGAATGGTATGGCTTGCCATACTCCCTTTCCCTTAAATATTAAAGAGATAGGAATAAACTTTCAGAATTTTGAAAAAGATTCGAACAACTAATCTAAACAAACAACTTACTGGTATTAAACTACAGCTGAGTTTTTTCTTCATTAAATTGATTACAGTAGATTTTGTATGAATGACGACATGTTCCATGTTGTAATATTTAAATTGCTCTCATTATCGGCATGAATTTCATCCACTGTGCCATACAAAATCTACTTGCATCAGCTGCCAACTCTTTTAAAAAAGTGTATTCTTTTCCCCTCACTCATTATTTAATAAGGCTGTTTGCATTATTGCATCATGTACTACAATCACCAAAATGTTATTCAGTTACTCATGGAAATAAGATAGAAAATTTGGGAAGTATTTTGGTAGCTGAAAATGATGGTGTAATGCAAACGGTCCATTTTAATAATTATGATAATTGAATACAATCGGCATTTGGATCCCTAGGGACACATAAATTAAACAAAACAAATCGGTAAATCAGATGCCCAGTCCCTAAGCAGTCTCTGAATTGATTAATACTGAAATACATTATAGAACCAGTCCCTAAGACTCTGTTAATACTTGTAATTGAATAAATTATAGACCCAGTCCCTTAGCAGATTGAATACATTAATACTTAATTGAATAAAATTAATTGTAGACCCAGACATTTAGCAGACTCTAAATACATTATAGACCCAGTCCTTTAGCTGACTCTGAATATATTAWTATTAATTGAATGCAATATAGGCCTTAGTCCTCTAGGGAAACATAAATAGATTGTTCATGGTAAAAAGAGTCCATGTTAGGTTTTTATATTCAATTACATGGTGGTAGTTTCCTTTTCGGGATAGACCAGCTCATTTTTCACAAGTTAGTAACCTAGAAACTTTGTTATTTTAGTCTTCGCAAACCAGTCTTGATAATCACATACACTTTATGGAAGTCTGAATACCACCTTGAGTCTATTGATCACATCACTCTAAGATATACATCACTGTTGTACTGTAAAACCTATGGGTAGTGGGAAATGGTTATCTTATAAGTCTCCTACTTGCACTAATCTTCACAGTATAAGGGCTGGCTTGCCATCAAGGTACTCYCATGAGTCTGTAGGGGGTCAAAAGTCTGATATCCTTATCGACAGTGTTCACCATCAGAGCAGCCACCTGGTTGTGGTTTCATAACATGGCTCTTGTCGGGACAGTAAGTACTGCCTGGTCCTGGTCTACCGGGGTAGTGAGACTTGGTGCTAGTAAGGACCTTGGGGAGGTATATTTTTTGTAAGTCCAAAAAGGGCGTGGAGAGGGTAAAGATGGAATTCATTAAAAAACACAGAAAAATCCAAAATATCCAACTATATTTTTTATGCAACTTAATTAATAAAGATATATATATAAGCAAAACAAAGACGAGTCAAATTGTAAAGACTCAAACTCCAATCTTACTCACCAAAATCTTCAAGTTCCTTCTTCTCTCTCTGTAACAAATTTTTCAACAACATTCTAAGTGCCATCCTTCCTCTAAAAAATTATGTCAACGATCCCCATTCCTCCAATAAGAATGATCCCCATACACTCCAGTATCCCCTCCTCCCATACGAGTATTCCCTCCCCCCATACAAGTAACCCCTCCCTCCATTGACATACTCCCCTCCCCCCATACAAGTGTCCCCCCCCCATAGACATACTCCCCTCCCCCCATACAAGTATCCCCTCCCCCCATACAAGTGTCCCCCTCCCCTACTTATGTAAGTTAAACCCAGTTGTAATTGACCAYCAAAAACCTTATTTTTCAAGAAATATTTTCTTTTCAGTTACAAGGAAGCAGGCTATATTCAATTTGCCATAAATCTGTTTATTTTTGCATTTGATTTGAAGACCATGAAATCATAAATTGGTCAAGATTTGATTGTGTTTATTTCAGAACACCAAAACATAGCGATTTTACTTTGCGTAAAAAATTGCAATAGAAACCTAAGCAAAACACCAATCGCTATTATTGCTTATACTGTCTATTGCAATGAATTTGCTTAAAGAGAAAAATAAACATTTTATTAAATTTAATGTTCAAAAAGACTAGAAATCCAGTCATTAGTTTTTACTTGGCTTTCAAATTAAGTCATTATACTTTCAGAAAATGTATACTTTTTCATTAAGAAAAAATTGCCGGTTATATTTTGCTTTTAATGTATAACCTAATGGAGTCCCATGTCATGTTAGTAATTTTGTATTCCTCTAATGTCAAGGTTTTCTGACCAAATGGGAAACATATGGGAAAATATTCCAGTATAGGCATGGGTCAAAACTCAAAGGAATTCAATAAACATTTCAAGTAAAATCACTCCTTAACTGTTTGGTCAATTACAACTGGGTTTAACTTGATATTTTTTATATAAACAAAAGACAAAGCATGCTTGTGTGTATTTGTAAGCAGTGATACAATCATTTGTTTGAGGCATGCTACAAAAACATTTTCTGATAAATATTGGAATGGGGCACCATAAGTGTGGATTTTACATTCACAATACCCAAAAATAACTACAAATCATGTGAAACCAAAACTTAGGAAGCCCACCTCGATTCCTTTTCTGCAGGGGCAAAACATGTGGTATATCATTTATTTCTTTTTATTCTTCCTCCTGCATGACGTTGTTCCGATATTTACAGTCTTGAGGTTTCTATATATCAACCATACCCATATTTCATCTTTTAGTGCCCGATTTTGCCCAGTTTTTAATTTTGCAAGGATATGATAAAGCAGATGAGCACCATCCTTTTATACAGCTTAATCATACCTTTTAGTTTTTGAGTACCACGCAACAGCAAATCTATATATATTTCAGCTTGATCTCTTCAAACATTTTAATTTTTTATTTATTCCTTGCAATGCAATTCTGCCAATTTATTAAACCTGATTTTCGTTTTTTCCAAAACCACTGGACCTGCTTATAGCATGCCTCAAACAAGTTACACAGGTGGTAATGATGTGCATATGAATAAAACCCTCCCCCTGATTCCAACATTTTATTACTTCAAATTTGTAGAACAGCAGAAATTGTTTTGTTTGCTGGTTTAGGTATTTTAATTATGGACAGCCATCTGATCTTTTTACTCATATAAAATCCCCCCCCCCCCCCCCCCCCACAAGTTCTATGTTAATGATTTCAGTTGTCTTATCATTAGTTCTATTATAGAAGTCACGTTTCTTTTTACATCTTTTAATTATCTATCTAACTAGTCACTGCATGTTGCAAGTGAAGTGCTGTGAGTAGGCGTGATATCTGGGTATTTATGAGAGCTACATATTGTTTTTTTATTGCCAGTCTCTACATGTGATTTTTTTCTTATAATGATGGTAGCTGACCACAATAACAACAACAAAATATAGCTGTCGCTAACTTGAATAAAAATAATGAGGAAAACAATTACGATAAAAAAAGAAAGTTGCACTATATTTTTTTATAAATATAAAACTCACAAATAGATAGCTTAGCAATAGGAAGGTAAATGCAACTAGGTTATTCTATTGCATGATTCTACATGTGATTTTTTTCTTATAGTGTAGCTGAACAGAATACTACTGACAAAATATAGCTGTCGCTAACTGCAATAAAAAATAAACAATTATGAATGTAACCAGGTTCACTCGGGAATGTTTTATTTTTGATAAAACGAAGATAATTAAATACAAAATACAGTATAATAAGGGCGGCAAAGTACAGTGTTAGCTAGAAAACAAAGAACAAATACAATAACTTAATTCATGTACTTGAACTAATGAGAACAGTTTATGTGCTTGAGTAACTACTATTGTGGAAATATGAATTGAAATACAAAAGCACTAATTGGTTCTAAAACTAATTACTGGTACAAAATGTTCTCTAAACATGATTGTAAATTGAATAATGATCAACAATAAATGACTTGCCTTAACAGAGGAATACTAATTGGAAATATACCGGGCAACTATGAAATTTAACAATGTCATTGAACTGGTAAACAGATCGTTAAAACTTCGACTAAAACAGTTCATCTAAAGACAATAATTTGTGACCCTGGCGGTACTGAACAATGCAAAAGTATATATACATAACCTTAACCTGTTGCTAACTGATTATGTATGTATAAAAGAAGCAATAAAATCTTACCAGAAGATTGTAGATATTTGCCCTAGGCCTGCATGTAACTGAATAACTAGAGGGACGCTAACCTCCTAGACCATAAGGTCTGCTTGATTGACCGTTGTCAAATTTAGGATCTCTGATTGGCTAAATTGTACAAGTTGTTTAAACATTACGAGGAATTAATTAAAATTTCAATTGGCTGCATGAAAGAGAAAGAAAGTTGCTAATTTCACTTTTCAGGGACAACATCTTCTATGTAGTATAGGGGGATCAAAAAACATTCAAATAAACTCAATTTTGTATGACAAAAAAAACAATTAATCGACGCCACTGTCCACAAAAGCATTAAAAAAAACTAATAAAAAAGCTTAGTTTTCCCTATAAAATGTCCTTAAATCGTTTGTTGAGATAAATAAGAAATGAATGAAATGGTGAAACATTAAAAAATTTGACTTTGACATGATTTAAATGACACGACTTGCTTGCTTGAACAGGTAAATAAACAGTCTATCGAAGAAAGGGTATGTGAATGTAGGTGATCCCTACTGAACAGAAGTACTGCATGCTCCAAAAATCATTGTGGCAAACACAAATCAAATTTTTTCTGGCATCTAGCACACAGGTGTCCAAGTTGGGCAAATGCAAGGTTAGTTTCCTTGCTTGCTACGCTTGCAGCAATTACCCAGAGCACAACAAGCATGCCTTCGGATGTAACTTGATCACAGTGTGAATGGTTTTGTGTTTATATTTTTATAAGCAGCAGACAATTCTTTTGGGGCCATTCGTAATTGAAGAAGAGTTAAGTAAGTAAAACTGTTTCACGGTTTTTGTGCTCTACATATTAAAATTTATGCGTACAAAGTTTCCATAATCCAAAATTCTAATTCATTCAACATATGAGGGCTACTTGCTTATTAGCTTCAGTAGTTTGAAAAACAGGCGTGATTTGAATGTACAAGATTCCCATGCTCCAAAAGTATTGAACAAAATAACATTATATGAGACCCAGTCCTTTAGCAGACATTACTACTTGATTGAACAAAAACAAAAAGTGTTTTTCAAAACAGTTACAACAGTCTACAATGCCAATTCAATAGAGTTATTCCAGACCATACGAAACTCTCTTTTGTTTTGAAATGGCACCATTTGATCATTAATTATTGATTATTGAATATAATGCCCTGAAACTCTAACTCAAACTCAAAAAAACCTAACCTTAAACTTAATTACAGAATAGTAACATTTCATGTAAGGCTTAGGTAATATCATGGCAGAGGGAAATTTTCAGTGAATTCTATTCACAGTCAAAAAATAAATTWGGACCTTATCATACTATGATGAATATGTTTGTGCATACAATATTGAAGTATCATTTCAAATACAATGACTAACCCCACTGGGAACATTACCAGACAATGAAATATAGGACAACTGTGGGGTCCAAGGGCAATATTTGTTTCTCTACGAGAAAATTAAACACAGTAAACTAGGGCACATGGGTTCGAGTGCAGCTAATAGTTAAGTGTCATATGCGTCTTGGTAGATTTGCTAATCGGTTTTGTGCTTTAGGGGGTTTTCCAGGTTCTCTGGTGTTCCTCCTCCCACAAAAAGCAACTTCCAAATCCCAAGTGGAATTCAGTAGATGAGAGAAACTCTGTGGAAATGCCACTGATAAATACTATGCATTTAATTATTTTAGTTACTGTTACATGATAATAAAATCTTTGTTATAACATATTCCTTTCCTTACAGATGGCTTACTTACAGATTTAATACATAGTACAACTTAAGGATAAATAATTAAGGAAATGTTTTAAAAATCTAAAGAAACATGAGCAAATTGTATACTTATGAGTTGGTCATACTGGTATTGTACAAGTAAAAACTTCAAATTCACATTAGCTTATTTAGCTCATGCTAAATGCATAGAGAACATAAACGGAAAAGGCTGCAAACAAATGGAAAGAAGAAGTAAGTGCTAAAGAACATCAGAGATGAGGCAGATTACACCAAAAACACAATTAATGAAAATGAGAAAAGGATAATTATAGGACCACCAACCACATCAAAACTAGTGAGACCACAGAAAAAGAGAGAAAGAGACCAAAATAATAACTTACTGAGCAGAAAGATAGAAACTATTACTTTGTATGTGTTATGATGGAACCACTTAGACATAGGACAACATATTTTAGACACAAACACCTTAGTTATATTCTATTTTGTATATCTGTGACATTTTGTGTGTTGTAGGATAAAACGTAGCAGACAACAAATATACCAAGTGTTTTTAATCAGGGACTATAACAAAATATCTTGATATGCATCAAAATAGTCAATTCTAACTTGGTGGA